ATAGATAGAAGTTTAGATAGAAAGATAGATAGATAGATAGATAGGAATAAAATTAGGATATTTTATTTGTATTTTCTACTTTGTAATAACAATCATCAACTATAAAGAATAAATAATTCCTGAACTAAATCCCTTTCTCCAATAGTTCTTTAATCAAGATATAACTCTCTTACAGGTATTCTTAAGTATGTATCAATCCAGATACATCTCATTCAAACTCTATCCTCTCTACCGAACAATGTTAAGTCTAAGTATGTATTTTTCGACACACAAAGCTATAGAACTCTATACTCTCTACCGAGCAATATTATTTCAGTTTGTAATCAAACAGAGTTCATATTCAACTAAACTATATTTTGGTATAATGTACAGATTAAGATTAAACTGACTAATAATACGGTCAGGTGATTATAACGTAATATATATATACAGGTATGTTCAGGTTTACATGATATGGGGCTTATTACTATATTTATTACATTCCTATTCAATTTAAATATATTTAAAAATTGAAGAAAAAAAATATCTTGATTGAGTTTTGCAAATAAGTTGTAAGTGTGGACACATTTGTTAGGTTGCCAACCTCAGCAGGAATTAATGGGGGAATCCAGGAGAGATAAATTTAAAGTTGAGAATTTAAGGCTGGAAAGTATTACCCCCCCCTTCCCGTAAAGTCAATATTATGGAAAGTATGATTTAAGTATTTTAATAAACTACTTAGATCTCTTACTATTAAAGGGTCTGTAAGCGTAATTTTAAGCGACCCTCCATCCGAACCGATTCACAACAGTACCCTTCAAAGCTTTGTCTGATCAAGTGAGAATTAGATGTTAAAGATTTAGTGTAGAAAACTGGTTATTTTGAATTTGAATTTTTAGCAAAAGTCAGTGCATAGCGGATTTCTACTGCAGAAAAACTTATAGTGATGATTAGAAAGAACAACCTTTCAAACTAAACAAACGACAATATCTTCCATATTACTGATCAGATAATAGTTTCAAGGGTATCGATGTGAATCGGGCATTTTTCATCTTTTAATGGAGCTGGTCACTTGAAAAAAATTAAGCTTGCAGTCCATATAAAACTAGAACACTGTCACGGGGGATAATAGTTCTCTACCTGTGTGCTCAGTTAGCTTTAATTTGTACACTTGCAACTGTTTACTATTATTGATATACTATAAGTTAGGTGCAGAGTCAACTTATAATAAACAAATATGCAGTAAGCTCTCGGTATAGTTCATGGCCTATAAAATTAATAAATGTTTAGCGTACATCATCGCTCTATGCCCTGTAACCTCGTTGAACACTATATACAAAGTTGCTCAGGTGCTTGAAATGAACCACAGTTTACAGTGCATACTATTGTTGACTTTAAAAGTCACTATAATAAAATAAAAGAGATCTAAATGGATATTTCTAACATTTATTTAATAAAACGAAAGTGTTTTGAAATATTTGCATTTAAGGCTGAGTTAAACTTGGTTGATTTAGAAATTAACAAAGGAATTAATGATGGATATTAGATGGCGCTTCATGGAAGTGTTGTAGAGCTTCAAGTTGGTGGAGCAGATCTGGGAACTGGGACAGCAGGGCTTATCAATGGAACTAAGGCAACGCAACTCGAGATAGCGGAAACTTCAGTCAGAGCCGTGCACAAGTTTCCTAAGTAAGCTTCTCAAGAAGTTAATAGGGAGATCAGAGGTATAAGCACGCCTGCTGTTAGTTCAGTATCTGCATCATCAGCATGAAGGAGTCATGGGGGGTGATGTAGAGCTTCATGTTGGTGGGGCAGATCAACAGGTGCGTTGCGCTGAGTATCTGCATCATCATCATGAAGGAGCCAGGGTTGAGACGGAGTTGTGAATGTCTTGAGTGTTTATAGCTGACTGAATACCGGGAGGTGTAGAGAGGTGAGGAGCGAAGGTTACATGTGTGGTGTGCTTCATTGCGGAAATGGATCCTGTGTACACACACATCTAGAGAATTAACATCGGCATTTGAGTCGGTAAAATCGTCTTCCTTATATTTCGAATTTATGTTAACAACTATATGTATCTATAGTGGGGTTCATATAATTCCATCTGATACGATCCCTTTTGTTGATTGATTGATATTAGGGGCAGTAATTAACTATGTTGTTATTGTAAACAATTGGAAGTATGATGTCATATTGTAATAATAATTCCATACTGCAGAATATATACTGCAAGGGAGTGTTTACTTTTATGTATACAATATGTTTCCTTATATTTACATCTTTTTATTCCCCAAATGCAGACATTTCTAAAGTGTAGTACACGTACACAATTAAAAGAACTTTCCAAAGTTCACAATGACACAGAAAGTGTATTGTAATGCCCTTAAATGAACTTTCCACCCCGATCCCATTTGTGATAAGAAATGGAATTATATCGACCCCTGAGTTTTGTCTATAGCTCCTACCTATGTTTTACTTGCATTGATTAAATACTTTGACACTAAGTACAATTTGCAGTATACACAAAGGATCCTATTTCGCTTAAGGAAGATTAGAAATTTGTTTATGCTGACTGCTGACTGTATTCCATATACTTCTATAACCAGAAGTATGCATTGCACTGCACTCCTATCTAGAAAAGTCAGGGATGGGGGTTTCTTTACTAAATTTATTCTGAACCAGCCATTGGGAATACATTGGGAATACATTGGGAATACATTGAAAATACATTGGGAATACATTGGGAATACATTGGGAATACATTGGGAATACATTGGGAATACATTGGGAATGCATTGGGAATACATTGGGAATAATCCATCGGCTATGTTTCAGTTGCAATTAGGAGTACACCACTTTCACTGCATATGTGTAGCTTGTTTAGTTTGGTATTGATTGTATTGCCTTGAATCTCCCTAAAAGGAGGCTATTCATTTGATGTACCGTCCTGTTTTGCCTTATATAGGCTGTATGTATACTGTACAGCTTCCTGTAGCTGGCTCAAAGTTGGCCCAGTACTTGAAATGACCCAGATGTTACTGTGGAAGTGCTTTTGGCAAATTCATTTTTTTGGGTCTTCTTCATTAGTTTGGGGTGATTGTAGTGACTGGAATTTCATTTGATGTACCGTCCTGTTTTGCCTTATATAGGCTGTATGTATACTGAACAGCTTCCTGTAGCTGGCTCAAAGTTGGCCCAGTACTTGAAATGACCCAGATGTTACTGTGGAAGTGCTTTTGGCAAATTCATTTTTTTGGGTCTTCTTCATTAGTTTGGGGTGATTGTAGTGACTGGAATTTCATTTGATGTACCGTCCTGTTTTGCCTTATATAGGCTGTATGTATACTGAACAGCTTCCTGTAGCTGGCTCAAAGTTGGCCCAGTACTTGAAATGACCCAGATGTTACTGTGGAAGTGCTTTTGGAAAATTCATTTTTTAGGTCTTCTTCATTAGTTTGGGGTGATTGTGATTGTATTGACTGGAATTTCATTTGATGTACCGTCCCGTTTTGCCTTATATAGGCTGTATGTATGTATACTGTACAGCTTCCTGTAGCTAGCTCAAAGTTGGCCCGGTACTTGAAATAATCTGGATATTTACCGTGAAGTGCTCTTGGCAAATTCATTTTTTTAGTTCTTTGTTGTACAATGTTTCTTATGCTTTTTATTTATTTTACTTTTAATTACAAACAATACTGTTTTCATGTACTGCAATCAAAACAAGAATATATTTTCTCAACCCAATTTGGATTGGTAAATTTGATGAGCACTAAAATAAAAGTAATCAGTCAACAAAGAATTAGACAGTGAGCTATTTAGATGATTTAAATTTTCATTTAAAAGAACATTTATGACTAGGGCTGGGTATGTTTGGGTTTTTCTAATTCTTTTTCACAATTTGTTAAATTAACAGAAGTAAGGTTCATCACCATTTCTCATCAATATTTTGTTTTATAAATCAAATTTTTTAATGTTATGCTCTTAATTCGTACAGGGGGGTTTTACTTGTTTTGTTATTTCACAAACTAGAAATTAACAGGCTTTTGTGTGTTAGCAGATTCTTAATTTTTAAAAATTGCGTTTCTCAAACAGTTTCTAGCCCATTTACTTTAAAAAAAATGTTAGATGATTTGAAAATTATTATTTAAACTTTAAATTTCAAATAAGGTTTGACTTTTAAAGGGTATAGACTAAAAGCTAATCACTTTGGCTCTTGATCGTGACCCATGAGAATTATATCTGATGTTCCTGTTTCAAGAAATTGATATAAAATTAATTAATTAATTAAATTTATACAAAAATTTATATATGTGAAATCTGAAACTTAAATCACGTCACCAGAACTACCACAAATGGCATGCAGTGCAGTCTCTATTCTGAACTGTCATCGGTGGAATTTCTGGTCAAGGTGTACGGCCGTATAAATAATATTATCAATTAAATCTATTTAAAAAATATATATAATATATAATTTAAGCAAACCTAAGTTCCAATTAGCTTTCTCTTGGATATCTTCGTTTTCAAATTGTTTGCGTATTTGCTGAATATTATCTGTTTAAACCTACTACTTTTATACAAAATTGTATATATATGAATTTTCGGACGCAGTTTTATATCAATTTCTTGAGACAGGAACATCAGATATAACTTCCATGGGTCGCGATCAAAAGCTAAAGTGATTAGCTTTCAGCCTATACCCTCTTCCATTTTTCCTTTACAGTCCCTTCAAGGCGTAATATATAACCATACTGTTTTTGTCTAAATATTGTGGCTAATTTGTTGTCCAAAATGTTAATTGGGGACTGTGATACCTTGGTTCGTATCATAATTTAATGATTAGGGGAAAGAAATCGGCTCTAAATTAAAAAAATTATTTTTAAACATGCACTTTACACTCGATCTAGTTAGGGTAGAGTTTATCAAGGAAAAGTCAAGAATTGACTTACCTTCATTAAGTATATAGTTATAGGGTTATGGTCTAAACGCCTAAAAAACAAACATATTTTTATTGAGATAATCTTTGACAGTTAAATCAAATCAAGTTAGGACGCGAAGCCATGCACATCTTAGTTTTTCATCAATATATTAGATTGTTTATTCTTGAATATTGCATAGCAGGTATATCTGTATATATACTTTTGTTGTCTGTTTTTTTTTTAACCAATTAATGTCAAAATGGCAGTCCAAATTTTGTGTGGGGCCTAACATGACCCCATGGAAGGTTTATGGAACAACAAAATTTGAGAAAGAAATTTCTAGAAAATGGTTGGAATTATTTTTTTGAAAATGCGCCAATTTGAAAAGAAAAATCGGCCAAAATTTTAAAATGATTTTAATTGGCCAATTTTAGCGCAAAATGATAAAAATTCCAAGAGATTTCATGATTTTCTTTAAAAATAAATTTCAATATTATAGCACACATTTTTTGCATTTAACATTAAACTAATTAGTCCACATTTTTCACATATTATGATCATTTCATATTAAACAGTAAGTAATAGATGTTCAAGCTTATTACAGAAACAACTGCAGTCTTAATTCAATTAAATGATGTTTATAATGCTCAGTAATACCCAATCGTTTTTTACCAACTCTGACAAACAGTGGTTTGTTGCATAGACACAAATTCAATTAATATCATGAATTTGTTTACCAACAATTTAACCCCAAAATTACAGATTTGTATAAATAAGTTCAACCTTTTTATTGCATATTTAGTCATTGATCAGCTCCTCAAATCTATAATTTATATATGTTTAGGCCTCTTTGCTAATTTATTGTTCAACATAAACCAAGAAAGAAGCCTGGATCAACTAGTTCCAACCTGTTGCCAAAGCAGGCATATTTTATCATGTCAAAGAATCAATGTAGAATTTTCCTCTATTGGACAATCTTTCATAGTTTTACCAGACAATATGACCTTGAACTTCAGCAACTTTATTACTTTAAATGAAAAGGGTTTACACTACAGCAGTGACGAAGCAAATGCAGTATTGGCGTATAATCCCCAAGAGATGAGTTTGCATGGTCATATTCAATTTGCGACCGGTGAATCATACACTATAGAAAATTGTAAGAAACAAGGGCATATTTGGAAGCAAATAGACGTAAATAATCTTGTGGAACATTCTGTTAATGATATAGCTGATTTATCTATTGCAGTTGATCCCCCTCAAAATCAAACCAACCCTGTAGAAAGCAATATTACTCTTGATACTGTAACAATAGTAGAATTCTCTGTAAAAATTTACTACACAAGAGAATTTGCCACTGTAACTCAAGATATTGCTGGGTATTTAAATCTTATGATTGCTGAAACAAATCAAGGATATATAAATAGTCAGGTACCACTGAGAATATTTATCCATGAAACAGAAGAGGCCACAATGAGGAAACAAGATGATTCTACTTCCTTGTTATATGCATTCACTTCAATGAAGTCATCAGTAAAAGAGTTAAGAGGAAGTGCTGACACTGCTGTGCTTCTTGTTAACAGCATGGATGCATGTGGAATAGCTTTTTTAAATACAATTTCTTCAGGTAACACTGTGGCTGTAGTCATGAAATCATGTGCAGTTGGCTATTTTACATTTGGTCATGAAATAGCGCATAGCTTTGGTTGCCAACATGATCCTCAAACTTCAACTAATCGAGATTATCCAGATGGACATGGGCACTTAATCCCACGAGGTCAAGCTTCACAAGGATACAGAACAATATTGGCATATAGTCGTACAGGATTTGAAACACGAGCAAATTATTATTCTAATCCTGATATTAGGCATGATATAACAAACTCTTTTACTGGAGTAAGAGGAATTTCAAATAACGCTCGAATTCTAACAGAAAATAGACTAAGAATGGCGGCAGTTGGAGATGAATCAATTATTGGAGGGTCAACCTCCACTGCATCAACTTCGGCAGTTCCAACCTCCACTGCATCAACTTCAGAATTTCCAACCTCCACTGCATCAACTACAAAAGTTCCGAACTCCACTGCATCAACTACTGAAGTTCCAACCTCCACTGCATCAACTACTGAAGTTACAACCTCCACTGCATCAACTACTAAAGTTCCAACCACCACTGCATCAACTACTAAAGTTCCAACCACCACTGCATCAACTACTGAAGTTCCAACCTCCACTGCATCAACTACTGAAGTTCCAACCTCCACTGCTACAACTACTGAAGTTCCAACCTCCTCTGCATCAACTACTGAAGTTCCAACCTCCACTGCATCAACTACTGAAGTTCCAACCTCCACTGCATCGACTGCTAAAGTTCCAACCTCCACTGCATCAACTACTGAAGTTCAAACCTCCACAGTTACAACTACTGAAGTTTCAACCTCTGCTGTATCAACTACTGAAGTTACAACCTCCACTGCTACAACTACTGAAGTTCAAACCTCCACTGCATCAACTACTGAAGTTACAACCTCTGCTGTATCAACTACTGAATTTACAACCTCCTCTGCATCAACTACTGAAGTTCCAACCTCCACTGTTACAACTACTGAAGTTCCAACCTCCACTGCATCAACTACTGAAGTTCCAACCTCCACTGCATCATCTACTGAAGTTCCAACCTCCACTGCATCAACTACTGAAGTTCCAATACAACTACTGAAGTTCCAACCTCCACTGCATCAACTACTGAAGTTCCAACCTCCACTGCATCAACTACTGAAGTTACAACCTCAACTGCATCAACTACTAAAGTTCAAACCTCCACAGTTACAACTACTGAAGTTCCAACCTCCACAGTTACAACTACTGAAGTTCCAACCTCCACTGCATCAACTACTGAAGTTCAAACCTCCACAGTTACAACTACTGAAGTTCCAACCTCCAGTGCATCAACTACTGAAGTTCCAACCTCCACTGCATCATCTACTGAAGTTCCAACCTCCACTGCATCAACTACTGAAGTTCCAACCTCCACTACTTCAACTACCGAAGGTTTAACCTCCACTGTTCAAACTACCGAAGGTTTATCATCAATAGCTGCAAGTACTGAATCTGCTTCAATTTTAGGTTCGAGTAGTATTATTGAATTATTCCCTGGTACAACTAACAGACCTGAAACCTCAACTGCAAAAACTGCTGGTCTAATAAATGAGCCTGCAATCTTACCTACAACCTCTTCCTTTCCTCTGCTATTGCGTCCTATCACAGTCACTGCATTATCCTCAACCCCTTCAACTTCTTCTACTTTAACGTCTACATTGAAAGATGACCCTGAATGCTGTAAAGACAGCTCTCTTCCAACCCTGAGTTATATATTTAACTTTCAAGTATTTGCAAGGTCTTCATTGGAATGCCAAAAAATTTGTGCAGCTGAATCAACATGTACTTTTTGGAATTTTTATATTTTTAATGGCATATGCGATTTAAGACAATTGGAATACGAGAAGAACCACTATTGGAAAACTTCCCCTAAAATTTGCTATAAACCCCCTGATTACTCTTGTCGACTGCGGAATAATAAGTTTGTTCTAAGCTACACACCTGTCCATGCTAATGAGAGAGAATGCCGTTTGGTTTGTGAACGATCTTACTATTGCGAGTATTGGGCATATCTGACAATATACGACAACAGACCACGATGCCGGATTTATTTTCTAACAAGTAATGCCTATGGATGGATTTCTGGACAGTTTAATATTACGTGTTCAAATTACAAATAGATGTTTGATCTTCATTGTAAAAAAAAGTAATTAATCTATTAAATGTATTGCTATGTTCGGAAAAGATTTAAAGCATATTAGCAGCACCTTGTTTGAAGCTATTTAATTTTGAAATCTCCAAAAATGTATATTTAACAAAATTTTACGTTTTGTACTTAAAATATCGGAAACAGTTATCATTTAGTACATACATTTCTTTTGCATAATTTTGTGAAAGAACCGCCGAGCTTAAAGGGAGTGTGCGCGAAAAATGAAAGAGGGTATACGCTTGCTTACGTCGAAAAATATTGGATGGGGATTGCTACTAATCTTACTCCTATCTGTTGCGTATAAAAGGAAATTGTTAAAAACAACGCGTATCGAAGCATTTGATCAAATAAAGTTGATATTTCATAATATTTTTATTTTTGTTTTTAAATTGATATTTCGCTTATTACTTAATTTCTCGGCTGGCGCTGGATTTTCGAACATTCCTGATAAAAATGAAAATGTCGTTTTCATCATCAAAATCCTCAAAAGAGAAATGAATGTTTTCATAAATATATTTAGGTACATATTTATATTTTACATTGACTAGTAGCAATATTTTAAGGTTTTATCTAAGTACAACAACTTGGGTGGGGGAGGAATATTAAATTAAATATTGTAGCAAAAAAAATAGTTAATGGTATCCCTAATTATTTATACTGTTTGCATGTGATTATTTACATCAAAATATATTCACATTTATATCTAAATTATAATTGATATTTAGGTTTAATATCATTAGACTTTTATATTGACTGCCTCCCATTCCTTTTATATCAGGCAAAACAATAGTTAATCAACCCTCTCCCCCCCCCCCCTTTCCCCCCAATCATTTAGGGTCTTTTCAAATAAGCCCTGAACCAGTGAAAAGTCAACAATTAGTACAAGGATTTGTCGAAAAAGAATTTCCATGCTGATTAAAAGTTCGGTGTTTGGCCCAGCAAGGTATAGCCAGCAAGGTTTGGCCCAGCAAGGTTTGGCCAAGCAAGGTTTGGCTCATCAAGATTTGGCCCAGCAAGGTTTCATTTCCGATCTTAAATTGATTAATTAAAAATATGTTTCGGTTTTTCTTTTTAACATTTTTAGGACGGCGAATACGTTTTTTATGAAAAGTAAAAAAAAATCAACTCCGTAAGTTTAAATATTTTTGAATTTTATACCAATTAAACTCAAATAAAAAAATAAAAAAAAATGTCCTGGTTAGTCCTACCTATGTGTTTTTACGGATTTCTAAGCAATCTAATCTTTTCAGATAAAAAATGAGATATTATGAAAGCGTTTCCTCTCTTTATTAAACAATCCTAATTAAAAAATAAATACAAACTCTCTTCATAAATAAAAGAAATCCTTTAACCTATATCTGATCCCCCATGGCCCTTGCAAGCTAGCTTTAAATACAACCTACCTCTCCACCCTCCATGTTTATAATATCCCCTTGTATGTAATTTCCCCAAATAAGGTTTTCCAAATAAATCAAAATCAAGCCTCGCCAAAAGCTGTAATACTAGAAAAAGTGTAATCAAGTCAGTCTTTATTTAATACATCATAGAGAATGACACCCTACCCCCATCCCCCATCATGCTTTTTTATAAACAAACAAATTTAACCCCTACAGTGTTTGAAAATAACGAAAAATGTTCATACATTTTAAATCACTAACATTTTGTTCTAAATTAAAATCAGGATGTCAACTTTTTAAGGAAATTTTAGAAATTTAGAAATTTTAGAAATCAGTATGTTATATGTTTGGTGTATCGAACAATAATTCCGTAATATGATATAATATGAATGACATGTTTTACCAGTGCCCCCTTTTAAGTTTTAATTAAATGGTTCAAAAATAAAAATGAAAGGACATTTTAGGTGAACTTTTAGTCCAACTCATTATTTAACCCGCCTCCCTAATTGATTCAGGCTGACGTTTA